TTTTTTTTTTTTTTTTTTTTTTTTTTTTTTGGTACCAGGGATCAAACTTGGGTCCTTGTGCTTAGTGAGGCAGGCTGTGGAACCACTAAGCTAAATCCCTGCTCCCTAGTTCCATCTTTAAAGAGTCAAACATAGGTAGAATCCATATTCCTGTGTTTAGCTACTTCAATGTTTTCATTACTTTCTGCTTGAATGTTACTTCTAGCCTTATCATGCCTTACATGTAGCTTTGCTGTACTTTCACCTTTGTTGGCCAATTCTTTCAATGATTTCTCTTTTACAAATTTTACATACATTTATGACTAGAAGACAGAGAATCAGTACAGCTCTACATTAAAAGATGGTCAATGACCAAGCATGGATAGACTTAAAGAAGTGACCTGGTATGTCACTAATCACAGAACTCATTTATTAATTAGAAAGTTGTTTGTGGACTGAGTGAAGTTTGTATTTATGTAGTTATTCACTGTTAATTGTAAGTTATGAAGGGAAGTAAAATTTGAAAAGTGTTGCAGTGGTTTAATGAATCAGTGGTAACTGGAATTCCTGCATATCAGAAGTGAGCAAAATAAGGGCTAGTTAGGAAACTCTAGAGCTCAAAAGACTGTATAAATATTTGTAGTTATTGGTAGATAAATTAATTGTTTATTATTTTAGCTTTAATGCAGAGTCTTTTTGTAAGTTACTGTAGGAATAAAATGTGTATTCGAAATATATCTAGAGTTCACTGAATAATTCTCCTGAACTTACACTAATTAACCCATATTTAATTTTGATCAATTGCTTCTGCATACCAAACCAGCTAAATCATTGAGATGACTTGAGTTATTGTTATATAATTATTGTGCATACTATAAGATCTACTAAATTTACAATAGTCTTTAAAAACTAGTTGCAGTAGCGTTTTATTCAAATGTAATATAACAACCATTTGGGGATTACCTTCTGATTACTGGCCAGTGGCAGGAAAAGTAGAGTTCACAGAACTGCCCGTTATTGTGCTCTTCTTCGTATACAAGCAATGGCAGACCTTTGTGTAAATTATGTCCGAAACACAAAGTTCTTTGAGTGTATGAAGGAGAGATGAAATTGTTAAGAAAAATTTCTTTTCTTTTTTTGTACTGGGGATCGAACTCTGGACCTCGCACTTGCGAGGTAGGCAGCGGCACCACTGAGCTAAATCCCCGGCCCCAGGAAAAATTATAAATCCTGGAAATAATATGGAATAATTCCTCTGTGATCCCCAGTGTATTTGAAGGCCATTAGTTTGAGAACATTATTTGCAAAGTACTGTTACTTTCCATTTAACAGTTAACAGCAGAGAGAGGAGTCCAGTGTCATGCCAAGAAGTCTGGGGAATTGTGTCTCTTACAATTCTGTTATTCATAAACTTGGGAATTAAAATTTATTAAAAGCAAATTAAACATTGCAGGACTTAGCTGGCAAATAATTTGACAGTTCTGCTGGTGGTGAAATCCTTTACCTTTTAAATCCTAGTGTTCTAGTGTTTAGAGAAATCATTGTGGATCCTAGTATTTTAAGAGGGACATCATCTTACTGTTTGTTTTCCATCTTTCAATATAAAATTTTTGAGAATCATCTGTAAAGAAAAACTTGTTTTTTGCTTGTCCTCATTTAAAATATTTAAATGGTTAAAATGTCTAAAATATTTATTCAAAATGTATTAAGTTCATTCAACAAAAATTTAAGTTCATTAATATTTTCTTGCTCTTTCAAAGAAGACCACTGCAATTTTAAACATACTGTAAATATCCAGAAATGACCTGAAAAACAAATTCTTACTTTTTGTCAATTAAATTGTATTTAAATGATATTCTTAATAAAATTTTAATCCATGCTTAACAAGAATACAAAATGCATCAAGGAACATCAAGTGAAAACATGAAGTTCTTTTTATGTAGAGTTTTTAATTCTGAGAAAAAAAATTACAAGTTTTACAAGGCTACAGTCTAATCAAACATTGTTTATTATTTCTGTTAAATATATGGAATAATAAATATGATTACATAGTAATGAAACAAAATATTTTGTCTTTTAAGATTATAGAATATCTCCTGGATTATTTTATAATATGATAAAAATTCACAGTCATAAAAATACTATTTTAGATAATGAGGTATTCAAATTATAATGTCGATATATTAAATCCTTTTCTTTCTTTTTTTTTTTTTGGTACTGGGGATCTGTCCTTATGCTGGCGAGGCAGGCGTTGAAACCACTGAGCTAAATCCCCAGCCCTAAATTCTATTTTTAAATTCAATTATTCTCCATTCAACTACTCAAACTTGTTCATTGTATTGAAGGAGAAAGGACAGGCCAGCTCAGTTTTGATAGAATAATTGTGAAGCAACAAAGATAGCATCTTAACTTTAATTTCTGTGTCATTTAATATATCTGATTTAATGGACTCCAAGGCAAATATATTTTAATTTTATATACATTTTGATTGTCTTATTCTAATTGAAAAAAATGAAGTTCTAGTAATTCTATTCATGAACTTCTGGGTTTCTTAGGGAATTAAATGTTCATCACTGCTTTAAACTGATATATGCATTTGACTTAAAGTTACTGAGAAGGTTTTTTGGCTTGATCTAATGTTGTTTATTGGGAATCTTTTTAAAACATTTAAAAATATAGTTATGGATATTAGCATTGTGCAGGGTTTAATGAGGTGGGCAGGTTGGCTGCTACCATCACATACCATTCTCTGCTTCTTTTTCAGCAACTCCTGAAACCCCACTTCCTTCTCCACCACAAGGCTCTGGACAAGAACAATACAAAATAGCTGCAAACCAAGCTTCGGTCATTTCACACCAGGGCCTTACCAAACAAAAGCAAGTGTGAGACCATGTTTACTTCTGGATGACACTGCCTAAATGTGAAAAGGTGGTCTTGAAATATCTCAGGATAGTACTTTTGGCAAATTCTCAGCCAAGGTTTCTTCATGGTGCTGTTATAAGATGGTATCCTATTTTCTTGATTGGGTACTCATTTTGTTTGTTGTGTCTATGGTGTAAAACTCCACATGCAACCAATATATATCCGAGTTTGAAATTGTTTATATAGTGTATTGTTTTTAGTTGCCCTTGCACTGAGCCTGAACCTGTTGAATCTTTTGTACTATTTTCATTTGTTTTCATAATATTAATTTAAATCTGTAAATAATTGCTTATTGTGATGTGATAAAGAACTAAATGTGCCTTTTGCCTAAAAATAGTAGATCAGAAATGCCAAGTTAACATAAAATGAACCAATTTTTATTTTTTTGTAAGTTACAGTCTTGAATATTGGAAAGCTAAAGCAGCAGCTGTAGAATAGAATGCTTTCTTTTTTTTTTTCCAAAAGAAGAATCATTCTGTGGCTTTAAGAAATACATCTTTGATCCATCATTAAATATACTTATCTTAAATTCAAAAAATTTATAATAAGCCATTCCAAAATGATTGGATCTTCTTTGAAATCAACTGTATTTGAAGATGTGTGCTAAAATAGAACATGTTTATTTTACTAGTTAAGATACAAGCTAAAATACAACAAAGAAAACCCCAAAACCTGGGTGAACCAAAAGAGACATTTAATTCTCTCTCTCTTGAAACAATCTAGAAAGACATCCATTTACTAGAAATTAGCACAGTCCTACATCCAGCTCACAGGAAGGCTGAGTGGTAGTGATCTTTTAGTAGGAAGCCTGTGCCAATGAAAGCTGTATAGCCGTGGGATAGTCACTACCTGGAGGGAAAAATTATCCATCTGCCACACATGTGCCTCTTTTAATCCTCACAGCAATCCAGTAGGGGAGGTATTACTATCTCTCTTTTATATGTAAAAGAAATCCTCAGCTTGAGAGTTTAAGGAGCAAAACAAAGTTTTTAAGTCTAAAGAGTAAGAAAGCCACATACAAATCCAGCTCTGGCTGACATTAATGATATATATTAGGTGAGTAGAAAGAAACATTGAACTTCTTGCATTGTGGCTTTTAAATGTATGCAACCCAGTAATCATTGAATAGTATCCACCATGTTACCTGAAATGAATATTATATGTAAGTGGTAAACTTGAAATTGTTGCTTTGCAAGAAACAATTTTTGTGCTTTTAGCAGTTTTCTCCCTAAAAAAACTTTTAAAATAAAAATTGCACCAGGTAAATTTAGATGAAAACAAAACAAAACAACCAAATTCAGAATCTTACAAACCTACAAATACAATGAATGTCTCATTCTGGACTGAGTACAGTTTGTTGCAGCCCTTAACCTACTTGATATCTAAATGTGGAGTTTATTTTGAAACAGCTAATCATGGGCTGCCTCATGAAGCAAAGCCTCTCTCCACTTGCTGTAGCAGGGCAAACTGAGAATTGCTTGAGTAATTATCAATGACATCAATAAAAAAGATATCTGAAGTTGTAATATATTGCAATAAATGTTTTTCCAGGGTTCTTCAAAATTTCTAAGATTATGATTTTATAACTTCCACTTACCTACAAATAGAAGTTTATATTAATTTTAACTGAGTTGTTGGCTCTTCATATGGAATAATGATTTATGGAAGAGCTATCAGAGATTAATAGAATTGATGATATTCCTTTAAGAGTTGGCATCCTTGTTACACCATGCTACAAGATATACCACTGAATGAGGGAGGGAAGAAAAGACAGAGATCAAAGAGTTTCTTTTTGAAATTTCCTGTAGTTTCGATTTCATGAATAGGAAAATTTCTGATTTTATAACTGCAAATATCTTTGGCAAGTTTCTGTTTACTTTTTGAGATGGTTTTCTAAGAAGATATTTAATAATACTGAGTTCCTTAAGGCTGCTGTAGCAAAATACTGTAAACTGTGAACCTTATAAATGTAAAATGTATTTCTCACAGTTCTCAACATTGGGACGCCCAGTATCAAAGGCCCCAGAAGATTCAGAGTTGGTTTCACAGCCCTTCCTAGAGCATCCTCACCAGAGGAAGGAGCAAGGCAGCTCTGTAGGGCCTTTCATAAAGAAGTTAAGATCATTCACGGCTGTGTGACCCTCATGACCTAATCGTTTCTCAGTGTCCTTGCCTCCCAATATTATCACAAATGAATTTGAGAGAACATAGACCATGGCAAATGCTTTTAAAAATGTAAAAACAAAACTTATTTTCAGAGAGACTTTTAATTTATCCACAAATATTTACTAAAAATATTTTATAGAAATTATTAAGGATTATGTTTTATAACTATGGTCAGGGAATTTGTAATATAATATTTTTGTATACTGAACTGCCAAAAAAGCTGGACAAGGTAGAGCTGATGTTTGCAGCATATTTTCAAGATAATGATAAGGAAAGTTGTTGCTTTTATAAAATAAATAATGTTTTCAGATAATGAAAGTGAGTAATTTATTGTGAATAACAGTTCATTTTATAAATGTAAGACTATTTTTATAAATTTCATGTTGATTTTTTAAATGTTAAATTATGGTGAGATTAAAATATTTCTAAACTGTGACATCTTTCTGTTTCACTGAACTTTCTAAATAAAAGCCTTAAAAAGTAACTGAAATGGGGTATTTCATTAGTGTTCAAATTTGATTTTATAATGTTAGAAATGTGAGTCATATACTTTTTATAGTAATTTGATTAAACTGTTAAAGAGTCTAACATGGTCTTTTGGGGGAGCAAGATTCATAGCCAGTTTCCAAATAATCAGAGTTGGAAGCTGATTGAAGGGACAGTTCTCATATTTATAATTTATTACATAGTTCTGCCATAGCATCTTGGTAACAAAAGTTTGCTTTTTGGCTTTATCACAGCAATTAAAATGTATGACTAAATTTGGCTTAAACAATGTGTAATACTTTGGTGCAGATATTGTTAATCTAGGTATTTAATTGTTGGTATATTTTGTTTATATTTGAAGCTTCATTGTAAAAATCTCTAAATTATGAGGGCCATTAAAACTTATTTTATAGATTTCGGGTAAGTTTCCTTGTATTCATTTACAAAGAAAAATTACATTTAAAGTTTATAATGAAAATCTGTAGCTCTCTGTCCCACCACTCCTTTTTCCCCATGCTATTATGCAGTAACAGCATTCAAATATTGAAGCTATTTTTATGTCATTTTTTCTCCATTATTTGAAAATATGTTTATATCACCTTTTCTTTAAGTTTTAGACCTTATCTGTTGACTTCCTACAATGAAAGAAAAGATTTTAGGACATTTCTTCACCTATATTATCCCAATTTCTTTCTTTTCTTTCTTTCTTTTTGTTTTGTTTTGTTTTTTGAGACAGGGTCTCACTATGTAGTTGAGACTGACCTGGAACTCACTATGTAGCCCAGGCTGGTCTCGAACTCACAGTGATCCTTCTGCCTCAGCCTGCCAAGTGCTGGGATTATAGGCATGTGCCACCACTTCTGGCTTTCTTTTCTTTTAATATGTGTCACTAAGGATGGAACCCAGGGCGTTGCACATGTTAGATGAACTCTACAACTGAGTTACACCCCTGGCCTAAATTTCTTAGTAAATATTTTCATTTAGATTAATAGTTACAATTTGATTTCAAACCATCTTTAAAATGTGAAATAGATACTTTTAGTATCTTAGTGGCAAGTAGAATGATATATTTTAATTTCATAAAATGAGTAGGAAAAGTGCAACTCAAGGAAAAAACATAGAATGTATTCTTGATGTGGTTTATTGTAACACTATCCTTGAATGCAATTTGACACTATTTTAACTTGGCTATTCCAAGCTGATGGTTTTTACTAATTCACTTTCCTTTCCTCCAAAATCTGATTTACTTATTTGAGAAAAAACTTTAAAAATTGGCATTGTGGTCATTTAAATTGTTACCTTTAGTGAACTGAAACAACAGACAAGTGAAAGAAAATGAACTAGTGGGTAGATTATATCAGAAGTTAAGAAAAAAGAAGGGAATACTAATTGTAAGACCAAGGAAATTAGAGAACTATTTTGCAGTGCAACTAATATTTAGAAAAACATAATAAAATGCTCTTACTTAACAGCTGTGATAAGAAATTCAAAGACTATATTCTTGGTGTGTATGGCTAGGGAAAGAAAATATTATGATACCTTAAAATCTAGAGGACTAAGGAAGTAGCTCAGTGGTAGAGAGCTTGCAAGGTCAAGAATGTGCAAAATTTGCAAAATTTTGTTCAGACAAAAATAGCATATTCAAGGTCCTTGAGTGCGGGGTTGGGTTTGGTGGTGTCTATAGAATATAAAAGCAGTGGTATACATTGTTACACCTCTGTTATTTCATCAGACTAGACCTATAAAGGCAAGCAGATTCTGAAGACTGAGAAAAGCTACCATGGATTTAAATAAAATCATAGCTCCAATTGCAGAATATGAAGATGCTTATATATGTGAGGTATGTAACTATTGATCTAATGAGTAAATTCTGTTCTATTATCATGAAGAAGGATGAGAATCAGTTTACTTTCCCTGGAAGGATGCAATAATATAAATTCACAGTTTTGATCTGAAGCTGTGTTATTTCTGGCACCTTTGCCACAATACATTCTGAAGATAGATGGATCATCCTGACATTTAAAAAACAGCATATTTGCTCCTATTCAGACAGAGCTTTTTACTTCATAAGCAGAAGTGGCCTCTTGAAGGTGCTCTGATGAAGCACGCCTAGACTGCTTGTACCAGGAAGACTACAATCACCTCACTTTCAGATCTTATTGTGACATTGGTTGACCCCTTTTATGAGTCTGCATCACAATTTAATTTCTTCTCTCTATTTGCCTTCACTCTCCCTTTCAGGTATAGACCCTTACAGCATTCACTGGTAAATGTCCCAGGTACTAAACTCATGTTCCAATTCCTGAAACAACATAGACCTTTCATTTATATTTATATGTCATCAATAGAACATGAGAAAACACAGTTAACCCCGATATAGATTTCAGGATCAACGAAAATTAAATTTGTAAAAGTTAGATGTATAAACTATAGATTACATATCATCAGAATTCAAATTTATAAAATAATCTAATGAAAAATTTATATCAAAACAGAAAATTACACATTTCTGGTTTTGATTCATTTTCAGGTAAATCAAGTATAAAGGATTGGGAGAAAAGAGAGACATTAAATAAAAATGCATGAGATAGAGTTACTGATATAGTTTTATAAAATTATATATTATAATAAATTTCAGGTAGGCAGGGACTATATATTTGAATTTCCAAGAGGATCAAATTCCCAGAGAATAGTATAGATTTCTAAGTGAATAGTATAGATTTCTAAATGAGGCAAGAGATTCCTCAC